CCGGAGGGATAAAGGAAAGCCTCTTCTTTTTCATTAGGGCGCCGGGGGGGGAGGGTCAAAGGGGGCGTTTTTTCTCTTCTTAGGCTCCCCCCCCCTTCGGGGAGGGAGGCCCCGGGGATAAAAAATTTTTTTTTTTTGCGGCCCGCGTCCTTTTCTGTGCGACGCCGAAAATAGTTTTTTCGCCTGCCCCCCCCCCCCCCCTTCAGTCAGGTTGGAGGAATTAATTGGTGGCCGCATGCACCGCCCGGGGGGTGAATATAAATAGGGCGCGCGGGTCAATTGTGAATGTTGGTTTTTTTTTCCTCGGGAACCGGGAGCAGGGCCCAACCCCCTTCTGCCCGTCCGCCCCCCCCCCCCCCCGGACCCCCCCCCCCTTATGGAAGGCTCCCCCCCCCCCCCCCCCCCGGCGGACCCCCCTCCCCTTGTCGAAGGCTCCAACCTCACATGCCGCTACCTCCCGTACGGCTGCATGGACACGACCGCGTACAACTACAACCCGTACGCAAAACAACCATGCGTCGATGGCGACTCTGCGGGGGACACGTGCGTGGCCTGCCTCTACCCCGGCTGCACGAACTCGACGGCGCCGAACTTCGACCCGAACGCCATCTTCGACGACGGCACCTGCCGCTCCGACTTCATTTGCACGGACGAGGAGGCCATCAACACGAAGGCCTCCTACGACGGGTGCACCTACCAGATGGTGCAGGCGGGGCAGGAGCCTTGCCGCTGCCTCTACTCGGGCTGCGGCAACGAGAGCGCAAGCAACTTTAACGAGGACTCCAACACCCCGTGCATCGATGACGTCTGCACCACTTTTCTCCTACGGTGGACATACCTGCGCGATGGACACGCACCAGTCAGCGCGGGGAAGACGGCATCTGCAAGGGGTACGCGCAAGCGAGTACGGCGGAATACAGCCGAACACCGCTACAGCCGTGCCCTCTCGAGCGCTAGTTGGCGGACAGGGTATGCGGCGTCTCTAGGTCAGCGTGCCGCTGCCCCGCGCGTGATTGCCGTCGAGGCGGTGCTTGGCGAGGGCGCGCCTGGCCAGGCAGGGGGAGGGCGTGAAGCGCCGCGCTTGACGGAAGGGGAGGGCGTGAAACGGCGCGCCGCGCGAGCGTCGCCACTCGCAGCGCGAGCGCGAGCGATGCGAGCAGGCCTGTGGCGAGCATGTGGGGACTGTCGCGAGCGTCATCGGCCCGCCACGAGGAGGGGAGAGGGGAGAGAGGAGAGAGGAGAGAGGGGAGAGGGGAGAGAGGGGCGCGGGGCGGTGGCGCGCCGACGGCGGTGAGCGAGATCATGAGCGGGTCCTCGTGCGAAGCGTCGGCGAGCTCGGCCGTCACCTAACACACCTTGGGATCGGCCGCTCACGGGTCAGTCAATGGCCGGGACGTCGAGCAGCCGAGCAGCGGTGGTTGCCTTGGCCGCGTAGGCGTACGGAAGGTTGCCAGGCACG